CCCTCCGGCTGGCAGCAGCTGTGCTCCAGACCCTTCCTGGGCTCCGAGGCCTGGGACACGGGCAGGTCCTTCTCCCCGGAGGGCCAGCCACCTGTGAGCCACAGTAGGCCGCGGGCTGGCCGTCCTGTTGCCCGGAGTGCAGCGGGCACCACCCTGGGGTGTCACCTGCAGAGCAGTAGCAAGCGAGGCCTCTGCATGGAGGGAGGGAGGACATCAGTTAGTGTGTGTGGGGCCTCAGGGCGATGGCGGAGTCTTGGCAGGCTTCGTGCCAAAGCTGGGGCAGCCCTTAACGGAGAGGTGTCCCACCCGTCGGGGAGACCCTGCCAGGGCCGCCGCCGCCTGCAGCCCACAGTGGGGAGGGGCGCGAGGTGGGCGCCAGTGGCCCTTCTGAGCCCGGCTGTCCCCGCCTGTGTTTGCAGGGAGAAATGGTGCCACATGACCCAGGAGGAGCGGGACGACAGCCTCCGGTTCAACGAGAACATCACCTTCGGGCAGCTGGGGTGAGAGCTCGGGGTCGGGACCCTGCTGCCCTTGCCAGTGTCACCCCGGACGTGACGCCAGCACCACTGTCAGCACCACTGTGTCCTCGTAAGCTGCTGGGAGGCACAGGGCCATCGCAGCGCCTGCTTCCGCTTCCTAGCGAACCCGCCCCCTGACGCTCCTGGGTGCCCCACCCCAGCGAGAGCTGTGGGCGGGCTGGCCACGGAGCGGAGCTCCACCCGCCCGAGGGTGCCGCCCGTGCCGGCTCGCGCTCACAGCCCGGTGGTCTCTCCTCAGCACCTTCACCCACAACATGCTGGCCTTCGGACTGAGCAGGAAGCTCTGCAACGACTTCCTGAAGAAGCAGGCGGTGATCGGCAACCTGGACGAAGGTGGGACCTGGCGGAGGCCTGGCGCCTGCGCACAGAGCCTCTGCGTGCTCGCTGGGGGCGGGTCTGTGTGCCTCCCCTTCCTCTCCCTGATGTGCAGGGGGTGGGGGACGCTGCCGGCCCCTTCACAGACAGACGGAGGGAATCGTGGCTGTGACAGCCTGAGGGCCGTGGCCATGTGGCCTCCCCTTGATCTTGGGCCACGCTGGGGGGGATGGGTACGGAGAGCTGGAGACTTGGGACTTAATGGCTTTTGTAACAGCCGGCCTTTGGTGAATGCTCCCAGAAGCCTTGCATTCAGAGCATATTAGGTTGACCAATACTCTAAAAAAATAAGAGAAAAAAATTCCATCCTGCACCAGACTCGATGGGCTGCAGCAGAGTGGCCACAAGGCAAGAGTGTGTTAGCAGCCCCCCGGACAATCTCAGAACGTTGCCCTGAGCCTGTGGCGCTAGCAAAGGGTGACAGAACACTGTCCCTTTTCTGACCATATCACATGGCCCCTGGCAGGCCCAGGACCCAGCTGGTCCATCTGACCATGCCATGCCTTCCATGGGCTTTGGGGACCACCCCTGGAGCACCGTGTCCCCAAGAATATGCATCCAGGCTCGAGGGCCCACTCTGAGTGTGCCCACGTTCATGCACAGTGCACTAGTGGCAAGGGGTTTGCCTGCCAAGCACCCCGGGGCAGGAGAGGCAGTAGGGCCCAGAACCCTGCACCCTGTCCTTGCCGAGGTCTTGACTTGTCACGGCCTGTCCCCATTGCTGTCATCCTCCAAGAAGTAACGTCGTTTTCTCTTCCAGAGCAGTACAAGCTGCTTAGTGACCACATTGAGCAAATGGCCACTGAGTAGCCATGGAGGTCACCCCCAGGAAGACCGAGGGTCGCCATCACCCCACCTGATAACCCTGCATGACACCAGCAGCACCCTGAGCCCTCCTCGCTGCCCTAAACTCGCGGTTAGAATCAGCTGCCCTCCCCACCTCCACCTGCGTCTGTTTCCGCCATACGAGTGCCAAAGCGTCCCTGGGTCACAGAGCTAAGACGAGGCGGCTGTCTACCCCTGAGCGTCAGGCTTGTGAGATGAGGCTGAGGGGGGAAGAGGAAGATGCACCCAAGGCTTCCTGCCCAGGGCTGGAGAGAGGACGGGGAGGGCACGGACGTAGACGAGGACAGCTGCAGGGAGGCTGCAGCGCTCGCCGGATAGGGCAGGCGCCCCCGGGGCCCCCGGGAGGTCCGGG